ACGCTTGTTGCAGATCTTTGTTTTTTGGTTTTAACGGCTTTTTATGACGTAGCGCTACCAATCAGTCTCCTCTATAGCTACCAACCGCTGACAAGAGATGGCGCTTTATTAATGGCATTGTTTTCAATTGAACAACATGATGTTTTAACTACCATGATTTTCATATTTTGTGAAAATACTCCACTAACCAACACAGAGAAAAATTTTGATCTTGAAATTGTTCAGATAACTAAGAATCGTTATGCTCTGAATATAATCATGCCACTACTTATGTAGTATCATTATATACGCAAAATTATCGGCAAGAGTTATTGCATCCTGTTGCATACGCGGCAAAAGTGTATAATACACACGTTTTATTTATAACAATAAAACGTGATGTGATAGGACGAACATCTCGAGCGCCTGGTGGTACAACACTCATCTCTCAGAGCCGTAAGTTCCCAAATCCCATGTGCAATTTCACCAGCAACTTACCCTTTAAAACTGGAACGCAGTAATGGTCACATTATTGCTTGGTGGCAGAAATAAGATGGTAGTACTGCCTTAGACGCACTGTTTCACAAAAAGATTTAATCTACTGTTACTGTTGTTTCCCAACTTTTACAATATCGGCCTATTGATCGAATATGAGCGAATAGGCATTTTTATACAAATGTGCACTTTCGTCGATCATAGCCGAGATTGATCGGACTAGGATATGAGATATTGTTGTACATTTGTTTGTTTTTTAATTCTTCTCTATACATATGTATATATATCAATAAAGTAAAATATTGATACCACATCAAAATTAACTTGAAAAACAAGTTATATATTCGTTTTTACAACTATTTAAAATCAAAACAAATTCCACTGATAAAACTGTGTTTATAAACAACTCATTGACCTCAGCGGACAAACGGTTAGCACTGTGGGCGTTAGATTATGCGGTCCCAGATTCAATTTCGGGTACAAACAAATGCGGACACTTTACTTAGTCTATGTGTACTGGGTAGTGCCCCGGATTGATTCTTTGCTCTGGTAATCAAATCACAGGGAATTTCATTGAAATCAGGTAACTAGTGTTAGTATTCTATTTCAGACGTTCGCCTCTAAGGCATGGCCTAAAGGATTAATTTTGGAGAGGGGTAGTATTCTCTGGTGAGGGCCCAGTCGACTGGGATTAGGGACTCAGGCTCCAGAACCGGAGAACGATACGTGCCGTATCGATTAAGACCGCTTTCTGCATTTGTGCTGGTGGTGGCTCCTTTCTCTGCCGCACGGTTGACAAATGGAACTCCCTTCCGGCACATGTCTTCCCTCTCTCTTATGATATGGGGTCCTTCAAACGAGGCGTGAAGAGGCATATTGTAGGCAGGCAGGGTGGAGGTGGCTAGTGCAGTGAGGGTTTCATCGCTGCACTAGGTTCCTTCGCGTTTGGATACCACTTTCCACTTAACATCAGGTGGAGTGGAGTCATTTGCCTGTCATGTATAAAAAAAAAAAAGCGATACGCCACAGAAGTAGAAGATGTAGAAGTCGAAGAGAAGAAGTTGTTAACGAGTAATTAGGGTTATTTCAGTGGTGGCCACATCCAACAAGTCGGTGATCTCTTAAGCCATATCGAGATATTTCGACGTTTCGTCTTTCATGAAACTCTCGTCATGCGAGATGGTAACGTCCCCAAGAAATACCCTCGACTGAGATCGATCCTACATCACAAACGGCTAATTGATCTCAAGCGCCAAGTCGGTTTTTTTTGACGTTTCATCTATTACGAAGCTCTCGTCTTGCGAGATAATAATGTCCACAAGAAATACCTTCAACAAAAAAGAAATATTTTCGAGCATTGCTCTGGTGAATATTTGTAATAAGGCATCCTCTGTTGTGCAAGTCCGTACTTCAAAGTGAGCTCTTGATGTTTATTATTATTATTATTAACCCGTTATGTTTATGAAGTCATTTAGATGTCAGTTGACAATATCAAAGGCCAACTGAATTCCATCGCTTTAACTTTAACCAACCTTCGACTTTTCCTTGACCGGATGAACCATAAAAAAGACGATGTCGTCTTCCGGAAAAGAACATTTTTTTTATTTCCCGATAATTCGTTCCTTTACGAATTGATCTTGCTCGATAACCTTCGGATTAAAAATAGTACTAAACTCACTGTGTTAACTCGAGACCTCATTTCAAGGATAGTTATTTTCGTTGATGTCAATTACATCATTAACTGCAACCAATATTTAATGACTCGTCAAGGCAAAGATTTTGTGTGTCCGAAAAGTTCTGACCGAGTTGGCTATATTTGCATTGTTTACCAGATCACATAAAATCTTGAATCAAAGTTGATTACATATCAAATTATGTCTTTTTTAATTGGTTTTTTTTTACATTTGAAACTAAAACTTGTTGAACTTTGATATCTTTCAGCTGCTTCATGATAGGAGACCTACAAAAATGGTTTCGAAAGGATTGTCTAATCGGACTTTGGTTTTCCCCAGTCTTTTCCTCGTTGATTGCATCATTTTTACATAGTTTTGAACCGATTTGAAAAAAGGAGGATGTTTAGGAAATGAAAACTATTTTTCCGGATTTAAATCGCGTATATTTGTTTTTTCAAACAAACCGACGTTTCGGGCCCTTTACAGGTCCCATGGTCACGGTTGACTAGAGGATGGAGGAAGGAGGATGTTCTCAATTCTACTGTATTTTTTTGTGTGTACTCGATTACTCCAACATCTGTGAACTGATTTTGAGGTTTCTTTTCTGTTCAAAAGGTGGTACTTCAGTAGTTGTCTGATACAAATTTGAAGAAGATATTCTACCTCCAAGGGTGGTAAATTAGGTGACCAATCTAGTTTATTGGATTTCAACCACTTTCTGTTAATCGATTTCAGTAAAGCTTGGGAAATAGATGTAATTCTAATGAAAGCAAAATGTTATGGTGACCTAAGTCTGATCAGATGATGGGAATGGCAGACAGATGAGAGGAACCCCTCAACAGTGTGCAACAGCTTCGTTGTGTTTGGGTTCATATTCATTATTTTGCCGAGGACTTCCATATTATGCGTTTTATTTATCGTTAAGGAGATCACGGTAAAGAAACACAGCGAAATCGGAAATAATCTTTCAGGTCGGTTTATTTTCTAAAAATGACTCCTGTAAGATTGCTATTCTTAATCGACTTCAGATAAAAAGAAATTTTTAATGTTTGTTACGCGTTAACTCTGTGAAATTTGTGAACCGATTTTAATGATTCTTTTTTGTTACAAAGAGGGTCACCTCAGTAGGGGTCTCGTTTAAATTTGAAAACAATACTCCAACGCTAAGGGTGACGAATTAGGGGATAAATGACTTCTGAAGTCGGTTTGTTTAGTACTCTGTACTGATTGCTTGTATTAATTACAGTAAGCTTATTTTCAAAATATTTCTTCAGAAATCTCTTTAAAACGCTAGTTTTATCAAAACGTGCAAAAAAAAATTCCTTGTCTATTTCTTTACTACGACGATCAAAGATGAAAACTCTGTATGCATTGGAATGTGAAAGTGCAAAGATGTGCTCCAATAGTCAGTTCCGAAACTATCATTTACCTCGACCCCTAAAAGCAACGGACTTACCTCAATGTGCACATTGAAACAGTAATTGAAATAAATGGTACGTGAAAACTCGACGCATATTGCGTTCCATACTTCGCATTTGTGAAATAACGCATGTGATGTTCAACTTAATATAACCTTAAGGCTGCCCTACTGTAAGCGTTACGTTAATTACATATTTTCCTTATATTATATCTTTCTAATTATAGAGTCCAATTAGAATTTATGTTATAGGGTATTTGACCATGAGTGCTTTGTTTCTAATGTTATGTTGTGTGAGATTGGTGGTGCTAAATATATAGCTAGCAGAAAAGTTGCCTGTTTGTCGTTTTTCTATCGGAGACATTTCGAGGAGTGTGCGCAGAAAGTTTTCAATTGAGTTCCATCTTCACCGTTCCTTCTTCGGTCGACTAGAAGGCCGGAACACTCCGTCCTTATGTAGTTGATATACCACCCATTCGCACTAAGCGCTGTGCTTCCTCCTTTCTGATGCATACGGCAAAGGTATGAAATACTCTAGTCTGTGTTTCCTGAAAAGTACAATTTGGGGCTATTCAAGGCTAGAGTGAAGGCATTTTTTTGTCAAACGCGTACCATCATCGGTCACATCGTCGCTGAACATCAGGTGAGATTGCAGCTAAGCGTGTGTCTATTATTTATTAAAAAAAGCTATACCAAACCCTGGCTACAAAGCTAAAGCAGAGGTCTCGGCTTCTGGTGTAGATATTCTGGCAAGTGCCACAGAATTCAGTTGCTTTGGTACTTATAGTACAATGAATTCTCTAGTTTGAGACCAGGCATTATCATTATTATTATGAAATATTCGGTAATATGCGTATTATTCTTTAATTTGCACCAGCTTATAAAGTAAACAATTAACAAGGAGTTGTTGTTTGTTTCTGAAACTCTTTAGTACTACGTAGCAGACTTACATTTGCGTCAATACGTTTCTGAAAAGTACACATGGTCCACCAAGTTAATACGTATTTGCACTAGCTACGCCTTCGCAAACAGAAAATTGTACGCTAACCCCGCTTACTATTGATATTTCTCTTAGGGTTATATGAAGTTCCAAAACACCAACTTCAAAACATGGATCGTAAACAATCTATATTTTCTACGCACGCCTGATTGATTGTAACTCGTTTTAGTCCAAACCAATAGCCGTCAAATTAATCGTGGTAATCGAATCAAAACTATGAAGGCAAACATGAAACTTCTAGCCCTAACTATAAGCGCCTTGTGACAACACATGTTATCCATCAACCTGTGTTGTATACACCGCAACCTCGAATATATGTGTTGATTGTATGCATATGTATGACTGTATGCGGACACGCCTCTATCGGCGAGTCAACATCGCCTTCCATTGCAAATATGAACTACGTGAACTTATGTTCTCATTTCTCTTGTTTCAGATTCGTCATCAACTTGCTAGCGACGAATCTACTGACGACCTCCCCGCTCGCAATTGCCCTGTTTTGCGAGCAATCGGAAGGCGAAGATGCTGTGTGGAAGGCGACCAGCGATGCCGTGGCCGTGGCGTGCAGCCTGGCGGCTTTGCTGGCCGTGATGCTGATCGCGTTGGATCAACATCATGCAGTGACAGACCCACTGCGCTGCCATGCGCGCTTACTGCAACGTCGCCCCGCCTCGCTTTGTGCCGCCACCTGGCTTGCCGCATTCATCGTTGCCATGATCCGAGCTACTTTCTCAGCAGTCGAGAGCAAATTTTCCAAAGAAACGTTCCCGCAAGAAAACCAAATTATAACATTGATCCAGTTCGGCTTTTACACTATTTATCTATTGCTCGGCATTGTCGTGCCGGCTAGTATTGTCTGCATAATGTACTGGAGAATCTACCGGGCTGCGCGTTCTTCAGGTCTCCGCGCTAGAGCCCACGGTGCTAGCGCCCTGCAGTTGCACGAGCCCCCGGCAAACTTGCCCGACCTCGTAGAGGAAGGTGAAGGATTAACGCTAAGAATCGACGTACCAGATAGTACTGGAGCCACGGAAAATACTAAGTTTGGACCTTTTTTGCTTCCGCCGGAGAGACCGATTCGTTGCCCATCAATTGCAAGTTTGCGCAATGCGCGTAAAGAGGACAAATCCAGTGAGAATCTAAGGAAGGGGCTGCCCTCTGTGAGCTCCGCTCCGTCTTTAGCAGCGCCGCTGCTAGCCGTGCACCAGCGTACGCCTCAGCCATCGCACAACGGCTCACGGATCACGTCAATCCGTTGCCGCATTTCCAATGCTTCATTGTTTAGATATAGAGAAGAATCTCGAGCGGCTCGAGTGGGTCTATTTACGGGTGCGCTAGTAATGCTGCATATACCGCATGCCGTGGTAATGATGCTGTCACCACTGGAGGACTATCAGTTCCTGTCGACTGAGGGCGCACGCATGCCGTCTCTGGCACTGCTGTTGCTGGCGTCAGCGGTATCGCCGTTTCTTTTCGCGCTGCGGTCGCGGCGTGTGCAGCGTGAGGCGCGTCGGCTTTTGCTGCCGGAGAAGAGCGCGTGGGAGCGTGCGGCGTCAGCGGCCGCGGCCGACGGACAGCGTGCGCGGGCGGCACTTGAACTGCTGCGCACGCTGTCACCAGGCGGCGGAGGGCAAGCGCCACCCGCGTCGGGAAACGGATCGGAAGGGGGCGCGTGCCGCGGCTCGTTCAGCTCTGGCGGCAGCACGCAGCTGTCGTCGGCGTCGGACGAGTGACCGCAGCCGACGCCGGCGCCGCGCGCGCCGCCCCCGCGGGTGCACTTTGCCCCGCGTCCCACCGCTCTACTCATCTGTGATACTAGGCTAAGCCGCTCCGCGCTCGGCGCGACCGTTAGACTGATTTAGTATTAAGTTAATTTATTGTGTCCACATGTACCTTTCCGCTGAGCGGACAAATTTTTATTACCTGCTGTGTAAATGTATCGAAGTATTAAACATTCGTATCGAAGTGAAAACTACAGGGACGTTTCATTTGCCTGCGACCCAGTGACCTGAATGTGAGGCTATTCGGCGACGGTGCAGACCACAGTCGCTGACTCGCGTATAAATAAACCAAAATAGTGAAGGTTGACATAAAATGGAGTAATCACTCATTAATATTGCAACAGATATATTTGTAACGCGTGCTTACTATTCTTGATAGTGAAAAAATGTTACAATATTTACAGTCTATTTTAAGTAACTATCGTTTACATTACGGAGAATCACAGTTTATGTTCATGGTCATCATGTGAACAATACTTCATTATCATTCAATAGCAAGGGAAAAAAAAGAACAAAATAATCATAATAATTGATTCTGATTCTAGACTTAACATTCATTAAATAGTAGATAGATTCAGACTAATTAATGACAGACTAGAAATAAACTAAGTATATAATACTTGAAGGGTAAGCATTAGCAACGTTTCAAACTGCCTCCGTGGCCGAACGGTTACCATGCCGGACTGCCACGCAGAGGTCCCAGGTTCGATTCCCGGGCCGGGAGAAATATTTGTATGGCCTACATTTATTTCTCTCGTGAGTTTGGGTGTAATTTGTGGTTGTCTAATTGTGTGTCCATGGCACCCGCGACACAGGGTTTCCCTAGTGCGGGGCTATGTTGATTGTGAGCGTTATTATTATTATACAAACAATGAAATACGGAAAATTTATCTTGATACCGTTAAGTTGCAATGACATGAAAAAACTTAAAAAAATGGATTTTAGGGTCTATCAAATCAAGAAAAATCAATTCAAGAAATTCAAGAGCTGATGATGTACCGGAAAATAAAGGCCCAGTTCATAAAGTAAGTATGTATTAAATAGGACAATGACGGAGTAAGTATTAAATAAAATGAATACGAGCAATAGACGCAGAAAGTGGAATATTAGGAAATTAGTATCAAGCAAAGAAATGGAATGATTATAAGATTTGAAACATAATTTCGCTCATTGGGTGCTACATTGATGCAATTGTACTTCTTGTAATGTTCCAGGAAACTAATGATGTCAATAAAACTGTGAATTTTTGCAATATATATAAATTTAAAATTACTGGCGATTTTTCTTCAAACGTAAACATTTTTTATATTACAGATGTGATAACAAACTTAATTCAATTTTGTCAAAATTACAATTACTTTAATGTAGCACCAAATAAGCGATCTAAGCTTCGGTATAAAAATACTGTACCTATAAGCTTAAAAACTGGTAGCAAGTTAAGTGAATAAAATTGGGTCCTGCCCATGATGCTAACAAATTGGGCAAAACAGATGCCAGCTCTCGGGTTTCTAAGATGATCTGTTAATTCTCTGGACATGATTTTGTTAAAAGATAGGGCACTGAAACACCACGGGTTTCGAATCCGAAGGGTGCGAATATATATAATCGGATCCTAGGTCCGGGTATTTACGCCTCTATATTCTTTCTACCAGCTCAGATAAATAAATAAATAAATAACCAGAAATTGAGACGAAGTAAGGGCCACCCATCCCTAGCAAATCATCAGGTAAATGGGCCTTAGATCACTTTTAAATGTCAACTCCCGTTTGCGCTGAAATCATAAATTACGAAACGGAAACAGTACACGCCAACAACTGACCCGTGTGTACGTCTCTGTATATTCCATAAATATTCTGTATTTATTGTAATAAAGATAATATCTCTAACAATGGGGGCTATTCCATTCGGTGGTGTGGGAAAAATGGCAAAACATCTAATTACAAAATAAACGGAATCACATTTCATCGGCAATTAAATATTAAATATGTAATTTAGCAATTATCGTCCATTATAGCAAAGCTCAAGTTGAACTGGTCAATTTGAAGTGAAACAATTGACGACACCCGTTAATTGTTTCGAATTTGTAATGATTTGGCAGCATTTCGTCTCCATTTCTGGTTATATACTCGATGGGTAGCTACTATAAAAATGTAAGTAAGATTCATAGGGGAAGCCTATATTTAAAATCAATTTGTAGATGATAGCAATTCTTTGCATTACTCTATACAAACTAAGGCTCAACTCACTCTGGCGCAGAGTAGAAGCGTCGCGTTGCGTCCTGTTTTTCAACTACAACGCTTGGCGACACGCGTCAACGCCCATTTCCATATTTGCATAATATAAATTTGTACCTTAATAATGGGAAAATAGAGATGAATATACTATAGGCGAAAAACGTAACGCGTCGTGACGCTTCGACTCTGCGCCAGTGTGAGTTGAGCCTAAAGTATACAGTTTTTCAAATAAATATCCTAGAAATAACCTACAGAACAAATATAAGTGACCGGAAAGAAAGGGGGAACGCATTATTGTTATATGTAAGTCATAATTTAACTGCCTTCGTGGCCGAACGGTTACCATTCTGGTTTGCCACGCAGAGGTTCTGGGTTCGATTCCCGGGCCGGGAGAAATATTTGTATCGCTTACATTTATTCCTCTCGTGAGTTTGGATGTAATTTGTGGTTGTCTGTGTGTCCATGGCACCTGCGACTCGGGGTTTTCCCTAATGCGGGGTTTTGAGTGTACGCGTTATAAATAATAATAATTAAATTAATTAAATAAAAAAACAACGTACTATTCAGGACAAATATAGTCCTAAAATAAAAGAAGTAACGAGACGATAAGAAGAAGAATTTTACGATATAAAATGATTTGTTGTGATACAGCGGTACGTGACGTGTATACATATCACCATCCTGCTTTTTTGTCGTTAAGAATCTATACTAAACTATAATAAGAGTTCATGGTAAGGCTTCTGGGCGCAGGTTTCCGTCCATACAACCTCGGATGGCTTTGGTTGATTCCGCATACAGTGGAAGTGTTGACTCATTACTTTGGAAAAAAATATAGTAAAATTGAGGATAAACTCTGACTACTATACAGTGTGAAAATACGATTTTATTAAAATTTTCACGATAGAAAAAAAACAGAAACTTACCTCGAAATTTTAAAAGAAAACCGCTGTATTCAATAAGGTACTTTACATGTACCAATGATTTGTTTTATATCAATTGAATTGAATATAACACGTATAGTACACATTTTTCAAGTGGCATTATTTTCGTTTGTAAAAAAATTAATTCTGAAATTAAGCCAGTGTCCCTTCCGCTGGACCCAAGCAAAATGAACCGTATCAGTGCGGGAAAAATTTTAATTCGAGATGAGTTACTATCGACTCTTAAAGAGATAGTGATGAAAATGCCGTAAGTAATCATTATCAACTCACTAAACCTCCCACAGCAGGTATGAGCCTCGAAGGAGAGGTTGTATATTGGATTGACAAAGGTTGCTGCAATCATATTGCTGCATTGCAGAAACATATTACAAAGAAACGGTTGAATGAAAAGATTACTTATTCTTTTTTTATTACACCAAGTGACGGGACGAACGAGTCATGCGCCTGGTGGTAAGCGACACGCTTGTTGATAGCAGTTACAGTGCCACTCAGAGCTTTAAATCACAGAGATCTTGAAGGGCATTGCTAGTGCATCTGTCAGCCTTATACATAGTTGACAAGTCCCATGTACCTGTAACTTCACCAGCAACCTTCAAAACCGAAATACTTGGCGGCAAAAATGGGTCTTACCCAAACCAAACAAACAAACCCCTTTAGAAGGAGCTCTACTGCTACTAAATTACTAGTTACTATCGTATATCGTATACTTCTTATCATATCGCTAAACTCCAAAACTTACAACGCTGATCCCGCCACAAATAGCCGCCATGCTAAACTGAGTTGACAAAATAATGCTCGCATTACTGCTTGGGCAGCAAAAATAGGTAAGGTGGCAGTACTTCCTTGGATGAATATGGCTACTAATCATATTATATGTAATTTTATTGTTCATAAAATTACAGTGGCAACACAGAACAGTAGGTAATTTATGTGTCAAAAATGAGTTAATTTGCAACACGCGAACTTATTGCCTTGTAGCAATTTTTCCCAGATAAACTTAACATAGAAATTTGGGTTGTGCAAAAGGGACAATCAAAAAACATTTTTATTAAAACTTATCTATCTCATGATCAGTAGAACACAATAAGATAAGAGAAGAAAAGCATCACATGATATTACATTAAGACTATTATATTAGCACAGATCTGTTTATGGTTCATGAAGTGATCGCAGATGGTTACAAATAGTATATCAAAAAAATTTCTTCGTAGAACCAAGTTACTTATTCACCTTTTAAATAACCTTTTTGTATATTTCAATAACATTGCTTTTTCAGTGAGTTCACGTAAGAAATTAAAGAAAGATATTGGAAAAAATAAGGAAGCGATGAACGATAATATAAAATGAAGCAGACTCATTCATAAATGTTATCGATCGAACAGATTCTTATCGGACTACAGTTCATTTTTTTTATGAACTATCGCTTCCGTCTCAACCTCCAACGACACATCAATCATCAATTTTACAGCAGTTTGTGTAGCCGACAACAAGATACCTTATCTTTTAAATCCATGATTGCTTACAATAAATTTTCTTAAGGACTGTAAGGATAAAGTGGTTTGCATTAATATTGGATATCATTGGTGCATGACTTTGTCTTTCTACATAAGTTTTGTTTATAGGGAGGGATCCCTATGAATCTCTTGATTAAGTGGCAAGGGCACCATGACCTGCGCGAGCGAACCCGCACAGGGACCATCTAAGTCAGGTCCTAACTCCGGATCAGCCCGTTTGCACGTACAGCATCCTTTATTTTCCAGATAGGTACCACCGCTGAGCCGCCGATTCTAAGTCCTTTACCAAATCTCCTTATTAGTGGCGGTGCCGTAAGACATGCTCACTCCCCGACGCCGAATGAATGGCGTCTCTCCAGTTTCCAAATTCCTACGCGGCCGGAGGAACCGGAAGATGTCAAGCTCATCCTTTTCTAGCTCTCTCTGACTGACCATGGGGCCAGTAAAAGGCCCGAAACATTGGTTTGTTTGGAAAGTAGAGAAATATATGCGGT